AGAATGAGAGGAGAAAGATTAGAAACGAAGTGAGAAAAGGAAGGAATAGGATCAGATAGGGAAGAAAGACGAGAATAACCATATATTGGGAAGAAGGCAGAGATATGAGAGGAATAAGCGTCGTTAACTGAAGAGTTCTATCATCTTTCATTGGGAACCAATAACAAAACATTGTGCTTCTCATACAAAAGAGTGTGCAGGGAAGGGACCGTCTTGTAGGCCTTGGTTGCTAGAAGAGGCAAGGGGAAGCATACGTCCGAGGGAGTCCTTCAGAAGATTATTAGAAATGTTGTAACTTTTCAGGTTGTCTCTATAATGAGGGTTAGAGGGGGATAATCATACAACGTCGCTGTAGGATGGACCGAATTCTGGAATAAATCCAAAAATCTTCTACGAGTTGAAATCATGATACGTATGTAACGACTTAGCTAGGGGAGAAGGGTGAGGAAGGGGACGAGAAGTGGAAGAGTAAGAAAAAAGGAAGAAGTTGCTGGATGAAAGAGACACAAAGAGGAAGAGGAGATGAGCAAGAAGTGCACTTCAACTTTGCACGAGCCTCAGAGTATGACACATTTTCCAGGGCAGCGTACTAATAAATCTGTCTCTGTTTAATATATAAGCCGGGCATTTTGCTGAGGATGGAAGGTGTTCACAGCCGCAATTGCAGCAGATAGGGGAAAGCTGAAAGCGAGAGCTCCACCTTGGGGTGTAATCCCTGTCCACAACGTGCGCAGCGGAATGCTCTTGCAATCCGAGCTGATATAGTAAGAGCGTGGTCGGCTTTACTCAAAGTTAATAAAAGATATCGCCCTAAATCTATCATGAATCCATAGAGGACACCTTTGTTCTTTTTGATGCACTATCAAGGAATTCAGTTGTCATTGAACTTTCTTAAGAGAATCACATTAAGCGCCATGAGTACCAAATACGCATCACGCTATGAAGCTGTGTTCCTCTGCACTCATCCGAAAGGTCCAAATATGTCACAATTAGCGGCTGCTAAATATATGAAAAAGTCGAAATCATTCGTACAGAAGTGAGTGCAGCGATATAATGTGGCAAAAAATGTCGATGATTTACCGGAACGTGGCTCGATATGCAACGTGCACAAAAAAGACTATAAAAAAATAGTGAATCTGTTTTCGCGGAATCCTGGCTTAACACTGCGTCAAGGACAAGCAAAATTGAAGCAGAAAGATTTAGATATATCGTATGAAACTATTCGAACCTATCTCAAGGCTAATAACATAAAATGGTGCAACACAGTGAAGAAACCTCTGTTGAATGAAAAACATGTGACGAAGCGACTCACTTGGACGCGCGAGAACATTGATCGAGACTTTAGCAACGTAATTTTTATTGACAAATGTTCCATAGGGACACGTTGTATCCACAAACGAGCCTGGTTAACTTCCAGAAATAAAATTGTCTAGAGAAACGTTAAATGGAGTAAAGGTGCATCTTTGGGGCTGCTTTTCAAAGCAGGGTTTCGGCATTTTGTACTTGTTTACTTGCAACCTGAACGCCGAGAAAATGCTCGAAATCTACAAAAAGGCTTTGTTACCGTCTGCCGAACGTTGGTTCATCAACAAAAATGAGGATTGGATTCTGCAGGAGGACAACGATCCCAAACACCACAGCAAGCTCTGTACCGAGTGGAAACAGCAACCTGGCATAGTTACACTGGATTGGCCGTCGCAGTCGCCCGACGCAAATCCTATCGAAAATGTGTGGGCATACATTAAGCACAAGCTTCGTGAAAAACGCACTTACACTTTAAAGCAGCTATCTCACGAGATTCGACGGATTTGGAGAACCTTATCGTTAGAATATGCCGTTAATTTGGTCGAAAGCATGCCTCGAAGATGCCAGGCAATTATCGATGATGACTGATCGCATTACTAATGTAATTGCATCTTTGATTTGATCGAGTACTATACATATATGTGTGTGCACATAAAAATTTTATTTAATACATTTTTTTATAAATTAACTCGACCACGCTCTTACTTGACTTACAGCAAGGTTGGGTATTAACTAATTAAAACGTTTAAAGTTAAAAAAAAGTTAAAAAATAAATAACTTTTAACTTAACTTAGTTAATTTTAAATGCATTAATTTTTAATTTAATTTACTTATAATAAGTTACTTCTAAACTTTAATTTATTAATTTTTTTAAATTAAAAATTTTTCTATATATATCTTAAAATGCTAATATTTTTTTCTATAAAATCTTAAACATTAGAGAATTAATTTAAAAAAAGTTTATTGATTTTATGGTTAAAAACTCTATAATAAGAGTCACACTATATAGTATAGTTTTTATTGATTCACTAGGTTTTGTGAATTCCCGCTTATATATTTGAATCACACTAAATTTAGATGTCATAAACATTACATTTCAGCAATATAAATATAAAATGAGTTTTAGATGAAGAATTATTGTAAAACAGTGCTGCATCCACCCATTTTCTAAATTTTGACGTATATTTTTTGTAACAAATATCTAGTTGATGTAATCGTAAACAGTCGTTTTGGAAGTTAAAGAAAATTAGATAAAGGTTAAAGAAAGAGAGATAATGCAAATAATATATATATGTATTCTCTCTCGCAAGATTTTGATAAAACCTTATGATGTGACTCTTATTATATATAAATAACTCACATAAAAAAATTAAATTTATCTAATAATCTATATTTTAAGTGTTATTTAAAGTAACCTCATTTTAAGAAAAATTAAGACATTCTTATCTCAAAAATAATTTCTTTCAAAATTAACTTAAGTTAATTCAATCTTAACTTTTACTAAATTAATATTTTATTCCTTCAACTTTTAACTTAATTTTATTAATTTTTATAAGCCATTAATTTTAACTTAATCTAAAAAAACATTAATTTACCCAACCTTGTTTTTAAGTTATATGCTTATATAATTTAAGAGTAGCCAGATTAAGAACACTATTTGCATTACCCAGATCATTTAGAATGACCGAAACTTGTTGCGACCGACCGACTTAATCTTGATAATATGATTCCCTATAAAACTTAAAATAATACTGACTAATAAGATTCAAACGTGTTTTATTGTTGATGCTCAGTAAAACATTTTTCATGCATGAATATGTGTAAATATGTAATATAAACATACATAAATATTCATAAACATGTATAATCATATATGAAATATATCCACACATGTTCATATATCTCTTTCTTTTGCAAAATGATTTTTTAGTGTAATAAAAATAATAATAGTAATGTGAAAACATTAAAAATAATTAAAAGGGTAATTTTCAGACTATTTGTTTTAGAAAAAAATCAAGTTTGAAGAAATGTAAAAAAAATTACTTATGTAAAATTATATCTAAAATTATGCATAATTGTATATGAGCCATTTTTTTTATATTTTTCCAAACTTATTTTTTCCTGAAATAAACAATGCGAAAATTATCCCTTTAATTATTGTAATGTTTTCATATTACTATTATTATTTTTAATACACTAACAAGTTATTTGACAAAAAAAGTTTTTACAAAAAAAAAGATCTATGAACATATATAGACATATTTATGTATAGACATATATATGATTATACATGTTTATGAATATTTATTTTTATATATATTTATACATATTTATACATATTCATGCATGAACAATTTTTTACCGGGTAGATTCTTGTTGAATAAGAACAGTATATAAAGAGAGATCTTTACTACTGTATTTACAGCAAATATTCGCAGAATTAAATGAGTTACTTACTGCATTGTTGTAACTAGCTTTATGAGGAGATTCTCCTGGATCTATATCTCATTCGTGAGGGCGTTTGAGTGCCTGACGGATACTTCCCTTGGGAGAAGGGTCCGCTATCTCTACCTCTTTTAAATTCCCCTTGTTATGTTCTTAACGAAATTCACCCGCCCCTGTACCTAAGAGTTCATCATTGAGACTGACGAAACATCCGAAAGAGAACCGTATATCTTCTTCCCTCTCCTTTGCAACGGAAAAACAGGATCTATTGCGGCCGAATGCCTTACTGGGAGAAGACTTCGCGCCCGAATCAACTATAGCGGTCATCTTTTCCTGTTCCTTACGATTCTTTTTGCTTTTCTTAATCATCATGAACAAAGTGACAACGGTACCGATTTTATGAATTTCGAAACATTAGCTATACTCTTCCTAATAGACGATAACGTTCTAGACGAGGAAAATTGTTTGCCAGTCTTTTCGAAAGAATTGTTTAATTCCTTAAGGGAGACTGGCGAACGAATAGTGTTTGATTTCGGTTTCCCGCCCGGGCCAGGGGCAAGCTGGTCCGAAGGCGAGCCCTCTTATATGCCACCACTACTGATCACCGGTCAAACAATCACAATTCGAGATAAAATAAGTTAATTAAGAAGAAAATTGATAGTAAAAATACTAAAATAAAAAGCGCGCACAAGCAGGCCGAACTTTCGAGAAACACGAATGCGCAGGTGCAAAAACACGTCCGCACTAGTCGAGTTCACGAACGAGAATTGTATATGAAACGTGACTTTTTGGTTTTACCATCGCGATACTTTTTTCCTCCTCTTCGATAAACCGAGCACGTCCGTCGTGGCACTGATATTGACTTGCGAGCGCTCTTCCCCATGCTATACGCCAAGTTTGAATCCGTTTATTTAATTTCCAATACTAAAATTTCCCATTCTATATTTCAAATGTAATCTTATGAAATCTAAAAAAATTTAAAGTATTGTTCAGAAATTATAAAATGAGAAATTTTAGAATATTTCAGAATTCACATATTGTATATGAAAAATTCTAGGAGAAAATATAGAATTTCTCAATATTTCTGAAATGCCCCAAATTTGTATAAAAAATTTCAAAGAAAAATTTTCATTAGAAATATAATTGAGGGTTCAACAGACCCTCATTAGATCCGGAAGATTAAATACAATACTAATTTATTTGTTTGGCACAAGTGTCGCGAATGTAATAATTATTAAAGATACTTTTAGTCCAGGTACACGTTATCGAACGCAAAGCGAGAAAGATCCACACTATCAAAGACGATTGCGATTAAGAAGACGACAAATCGAATCCAGCGATGAAGGATCTAGGTAAAGGAATTTCAAAAACGATTAAAATTGGATAAACTCAAATAGCACAGCAAATAGCGCTTGCAAAGGGCTAAAAAAGCGATTATATGCACTTTGTTAATGCTTTGTAAGCTGTACGCTACTTGGGTAAACTTTCTAAAATTATCTAAGGAGAATTGATACACATAATCTCAAATAAAGTAATTACAGAAGGTAAAAGACATTAAAAGTTAAAGAAATGAGATTCATAAATATAAATGAGGATATATTACTCCCTACTACTTCAAAAGTGACACAACTAAAAAAATTAAGTTTAAGAAAAAAGAAAAAACTTTTGTTTAATTATAGAAAATTATACAGAAAATTATAAAGATTATGCGTTTTGCGGATTTCTTCGTATCCAGATCCATTCTTAGAATGCCAACGTTTCGTGCTTGCAATCCACTTCATCAGGGCGAGGAGCAACCTGATATTGAGCTGTTCCTCCAGGCCGTTCATTTTATATTGCGCTATTTGTTGGAGTGGTGAGGAAAAGAAGAGAATTGTAGGGGGGAGAGGTGAGCGAAATTGGTCGGTCTTCAATAATCGGGAGAATGGTTTTCCATATTTTATTTCGCCATTGTCTTTATTGTTAGGGTGTTTGTGTACCTTTATAGCCTCTTTATACTTTCTTAGAAAGTAGGATGTAATGTTGGCTATTGTCGTTTTGTCAAACAGTATTTGGTGTCGTGTTTCGATATTGTGTTCTGATAATGCCGACTGCGTGGCATGTTTTAACCTGACATCACGTTGGTGTTCTTTTATTCGTAGGTTGATCATTCTCTCGGTTTCTTCAATGTATACTCGTGTTCACAGGAACAAGATATTTTGTATATTCCTACGAAGTTGAGTGGAGGTCTTTGATCTTTAGGATTTCTCAAAATTTCCTATCTTTTTGGATGACTTGAAGATAATTCGGATATTGTGTTTGTTTAATATCCTGCCAATACGATTCGTCGTTCCTTTGACTTATAGGAGAATGAATAGGATTCTTTCATCTGATTTAGGTAGAGACCGTGATCTTATTTGTGTATTTATTGATTATTTTGATTATGTCTTTCTTGTCGTTTTTCTGTAAAGCTTGTTTAGGTGATTGAGTTCTGTCTGCAAATGTTCTTTGTCAGAGATAGTGAAAGCTCTATGTACGAGTGAATTGATTACTGACTGTTTTTGTGCTGAGTGGTGGTGCGATTTGGTATGTAAATATCTATCTGTGTGTGTTGGTTTTCTGTACACTTGATAGTCTAAGATACCGTCAGCTTTTTTAGAGACAAGAACATCTAGAAAGAGATGTTTTCCGTTTTCCTCTATGTTTATAGTTAAGTGGATATTTGGATGTTGATTGTTGAGGAAAATAAAGAATTTACAAAGTTTGACTCTGCCGTGTCTCCATATCACGAAAGTGTCGTCTACATAACGGAACTCACTTTTGGAACTTTTGGTTTTTTGGGTGTTTTTCTGAACGCCTCTTTCTCAAAATGCTCCATGAAGATATTGGCAATTACAAAAGAAATAAGAGAGCTCATTGCCGCTCCTGAAGTTTGTTCATAAAATTGGTTGATATAGAAAAAGTGGTTGTTAAGCAGTGCTCTATTAGCGGGATGAAGTCGGAGGAAACTTCATGTGAGTTTATTATGTTTAATATTATGTTTAATGTGTCTTTTACTGGGACTTGTGTGAAAAGGGATTCTACGTCGAAACTTACAAGCAGGTCTGTGGAACGTCGGATTTTTTAGATAAAGTCCATTGAGTTGGTTATGTGCGATTTGGATTTTCTAATAAGGGATTGTAATGTTTGAGTTAGAAAGCGGGATAAGTTGTATGTCGGGGAGTGTATGACGCTGACAATCGGTCTGAGGGGAATGTTTGGTTTGTATACTTTTGGTAGTCCGTATAATCTTATTGGAAGAATATTGACAGAAAATTATTAATTAATTAAATAATGTCAGTAAAAAGAATATAAAGTAAAGTCATGATACAAGTAGACATAATGTGTTCGTAACTAAGACAAGTTTGCGCATAGCAACGCTCATTTTTCGCTATTACCAACGGTATATATACGAGGGGGGACCCAAAAAAAACGGGAATTTCGTCATAACTTCTTTATTTCTCAATATTTTAACACCAAATTTTAATCACCTTCAAAGTATTCGCCATTGACCACAACGCACTTCTCCAAACGATTCTTCCATTGTTCAAAACAGTTTTTAAATTCACTCATCGGGATGTCCTTTAAGCCTTCCAGCGATTTTTGTTTCACCTCCTCCACAGTGGCAAAACGCTTTCCTTTCATATTCCTTTTGAATTTGGGGAACAAAAATAAGTCATAGGGGGCTAGATCCGGTGAGTATGGGGGATGGACAATTGGTGTCATGGCGTTTTTGGTCAAAAATTGCTTCACGGAAAGGGCGGTGTGGGCCGGCGCGTTGTCATGATGGAAGAACCAGTTTTCGCCGAAATGTAAAAAGTTGTTTTACTAAAAAAAATCTCACAGGCGAACCGATGCACTCACAGCGACACAACTTCGCACACTGACGCAGGTGGCGTGACACTAACGGACATGTGGTCAAACAATAGGTTCCCCCACTCTCCCTCCCCACCACAGCGTAATTCCCGGAACTTATGGGTCCCCCCTCGTATAATAACATTACCATATATATTTGCGCGGTTGTCATATGATTTGAAATAATTAAAAAATGTATTAAATATAAGTGAAAAATAATAAATAATAGTAAAAAAAGTAATAAATAAGTAATTATTTTTACTATAAATAAGTGATTATGTACTATGTGTGAAACTGAATTTCACTATCATAGCAGGCATATTGAAACAAAATTCGCTGAAAAATAGCGAAAAAAGATTGAGCTCTGATTCAGCCGAAAAATAGCGAAAAAAGATCGAACTTCTGTTGCAGCAGATAAACATACGGAAAAACACCATGTGTTCTAGCTAACTAAAAATTTACTGCCAGTACTGAAAATCTATAGTCACGTCTATTATAGATTTTCAGTACTGGCTATAAATTTTGGAACACAGCTCATGTCTACTTGCATCACGGGATAAAATATACAGTGATTGACCACGATACAATGATTGACTATTTGCTATGAATTTGTCTATATATTAAAATTCAAGTTAAACTAACAGCTAATTTCACAACATAATAATAATTGATCTTTACTAACTCCATATATGAACAAAATATTCAATTTACAGTCCGTTTTTTACTTTCCAGTCCGTAAATTGAACTTGCAAAAACTGTAGTACACAATTAAGAAATACTTAACAGTTCAGTTAAGCGTATGTATAGGTAAATTATATTTTTATAAAACATTTATTGACACTTTTGCTCATCATATATCGCTAATACAATGTTATGAATATCTTCTGCATATTAATTTTGTTAATAAATGCAATAATTACGAAAATAAAAGGGTGATCAATAACTGTAATTGAGAAAGTTCATTTTTTATAGTTATTGACCTGTTACGTCCAAGCTCCGTATAGAACTGAGGGAGTAAACGCAATAAGAACCGAATTATTAGATCGATTGAGTCGTGTCCAGGCTCCGGACCGCAAGAGAGCAGTGGGGAAGAATCGACGCAAATCGGGAGGCACTTCCCTTCGTCCTGAGGCTGCTAACGAGCCGGGGGTCGAACGGACGAAGTGGAAACCTCTGCTCGTGCTCCGCTAAACGGACATACGAACGTACTTTTAATTTAAAGGGCCCAAACTGGGTCAGTGTGCCGGGAGGGTGCACTTTAACGCCAGATGTGCCAGTATGGCCGTATGCCCTGACTTTCGGTCATGGAACTTAATCCGAGTGACCGAGGAGAGCTAGTAAATACAAGAAGAGGTTATATTTAAATAAATGACAACCGAGAAGTTAACTTAATAATGGTATAATAAAAGGCAATATTCGGTTATACATTTTCTTTGAGTAAATAAAAAAAGAAATACAATTTTTGTTTCTTTATTCTAAAATATATGTGCGGATTTATGCGTGTGTGTGTGTGTGTGTGTGTGTGTGTGTGTGTGTGTGTGTGTGTGCGAAAAGAGAGTCGGAATGCGGATGTTATTTTGAATATCGAGAATTTGAAAGGAAGAGAGGAAAATTAAAATTGCGTAGAGTCATATGGTTGGAAAGAAAAAGGATCAATGGGAATGAGAGATGGTATGAGGACTAAAAATAAGTCGTCGGATCCCGCGATGCTCACTATTACTCGGTCATTGATGGAGGGGTAAAATAGGACATACACTGGGCATCAAAATTAACGCAACACCTGTTCACTCTGCAAAAATAGGCAAATTTCAAAATACAATAATTTCGTCAAAAATTGTTGTATCGGGATATAAAAAAGCATTTTACAGGTAGAAACCTCTACTTTTCGAATCGCTACTTTAAAAAACAGTCTCATGAAGATTTCATGAAGTTATACAAACATAAATGAAGATATTTCAGACCTCAAAATTTTTTATGAAATTTGCGAAGCTCCATGGAATGGAATAAAAATTCCATTTCAGATTGGATTCAGATTGGTGGAATTGGTAGATTTCGTTAACTAGTAGTAGGATTTCCTTTGCTCTCGGATTCTTCAAGATTTTGAAGGAGGAAAGGATATTGACAGGAGTCTGTAGTGTGGAAGTGTCCTCCAAAATTTTACGATCTTAAAATTTATGAGAAAATGCACGTGCCGTCAAAAAGGCATGCATGCATCGTCGCCACGAGACCACCCAGAATCTACCCCTGAACGTCGAGTGTCTCTTCTTAGATTTTATGATCACGGATTCGCGAGAATCGTCCGCAATTTGACCGTTAATCTTGGCGTCGGTCTTACGCTTTCAATACATATTTATTATTAATTTAACCTGTCCTAAATTTAGTAGTGTCCTAGACTCGGCGTCTCTTGGTCCCGCCGCTCGTGCACACGTGCCGATTTTTAGTCTATCTCGGAGCGACATTTACGAGGAGATAATGGATTCCTCGTTTTAGTTTTTAGTGTAGAAAAAAAAGAAAAAAAAATATTTCAATTTCAGATCTCCACGAAAGAAAAGAGTCGTGGGAGTCCGCTGGACGTAACAGACCATTCATTGTAATTCACATATTATTCACTAGATAATTATTTCTCATAAATAAAATTACGATTTTGAGATGTTATAATATTGTAGGTTTAATTTTTCATCAAAATACCTAAAGTAAGTTGTATGAAATACTCTCAAGAGGCACTTAACAATGCCGTTCGTAAAGGTATGGAGTTGAATGAAGCACCACAAACATAAAATCAACGCTTAAATTTAGAAAAGATAAACCACTAAACATCAAAATAACAATGTCCTATATTTGAAATTTCATTAAATTTATCTCCTTTTCATTTTCTGAATTTTTGTCTTCATTTTAATAGTTTTCGTACTAATGATCAATCACTGTCATTTTTCTGTACAATAAGAGTAAAACTTATGGTCAATAATTATCATTTTCTGAATAAAAGTTTTTGTTAGAAAAAATGTTTTTATGAAAAACATGAACTTATTCAAAGTTTTTTGTATTTAACATATTCTTTGAACCTTATTTAATGCTTTGCATCAAATTTAAATTTCAAATAATTTCAATAGTAATTACAATGATTGTATTAAATTTCAGCACTTAAATGGTCAATTATTGTACACTTTACATTTCTATTCTTAACATGATCAAATATCATTTCATAATCACGGTTACCAGGTCCCGGGCTCTGGTTCAGCTGAGGCCAAACTTCGAGCCTTAAAAGAGCCTCCGTGCGCTGGAGATTTACTATTTCGAGGCTGACCAATTGCTATCCAAAAAAGAATTGCTTTCCAAAACAAAACGTACAGGATTTCATTCGTACACATTACGACACTATTGCACACTTTCTTTTTATCCAAATAGCAACAATCCAAAATAATCTACATAGTGCGAACACAAGATATTTTCTTATATTACAACATAAAGTAAAAACATAATCACAGACTTTCTTATTATTAAAATAAATATTCTTGAACCATATTTCTTTTCGCATAACTCAATATTACACTATATAACGGAAAAAAAAACAAAAAATATAAATACAACGCTACAACATTATTAACATAGAAACAGGCTACGCGGGCATCACTAAGTAATGAAATTAGTGAATACGCGAACAAAAAATCGGAGATTTTTCCCGTCAGCCGGAGATTGGTCCCCAAAACTGAAGTCTTCAATCAAAAACTGAAGCCAATGTGTTCACAATCCTTAAAAAATCACCCTTGTTGAATCCTAACGATTTTGACGATTTTTTTAACAAATGTGTATTATACTCGTATGTAATATTATAAATTTGTTCACTTTTGATAATTGATAGGGTAATGTTTAATTAATTCATGGCAAATAACAACTTGAAATTAAATAACGTTTTTTATAAGTTGTGTCACTTTTGAAATAAAGGGAGAAAGAAACGATATTTTTGCGACAAAAAAATTTTAGGACGGAATTCTTTTAATCAATTATTGTATCACGTACGGTTTTGTGCTACTTATTGTAACTCGTTGTAAGATAATATTAATTTATCTTTATTAGATCACCGTCTCCCGACCGACGGAAATCAAATAACGGAAAATCAAAAAGCCGAAGCACTATAAGACGTAAGGCAAAACCCGAGAATTATGATGCTGATCTGTCGATGGACAGTCTGAATTCCGTTGTGCCTTTGCGAATCGATAAAAACGGCAAAATTAATATCGAGAATCATGCCGAGAAATCACAGTCAGGAAACAATATGAGTCACACAAAAAAAACGGACGAAGACAGTTCTAACATTTGGTGCGGACAGGAAATCTTGTCCAAACTGTCATCATTGAGAAGCGTATGTAACAAGCAGATAATATTATAATCTTTTATATTCCTTCGCCACATTTATATTCTTTATACATAATTAGGGGAGAATACGTATGAAAGAGACATGTTTGGAAAGAGCCATTTCGTATTTCAACTAATTGAATATCGCTAAAAATTTAAAAATATTTTCATTTGATAACAGTGTACTAAAACTATTGTATGTCATCCATAAACATTTGGCAGTCATCGTTAGGATATTACTGTAATAAGAGACGCAAAATTATTATTACAAAATAAGTTTCTTAAATTAAATTTTGAAGTCTTTTTCATTTATTTACGATTAGAAAAAGTTTTAGAAAAAGTATTTTTTTATCATAAATGTTATTATATATACAACGTAACATAAGAACATAGTTGCAAATTTTTTTGTTAATTTTGATTTATGAGTATTCTATGATTAGATTTTTTATACATAATATTATGAAAGAGCCGGTATTGAGAGCAATGAAAAAGTCAGTTCTTTTATTGCCGCTTTACCTGGTTCCTTTATTCCATACTCATGGATGTTTGTTTCAGTATAATTATACTTTTTTAATACAATTCAGGAAATTTTAGTACGTCAGTACTTTTTTTAAATATATCATACTCATGATCACTACATTTTCATTCACTCGGTCTCAATCATCGCGCGGCGTTAGTAAAGAATTTGTAAGGGGATTTGTCTTAGGGATAAAACAAATGTGCTGGTATGGCGACATAATTATGAACTTCTGAGGAAATTCACTGAACAAAGATATGGCTAAACAAACCCTTGAAAAGCAATAGCAAAGGAAGAACTCTCAAGAGAATATATTTATATATCAAATAATCGAAGTTTGGTCACAACATAATGACAATAACTGCTATGTCTGTTCAATAAATTATTCTGTAAGGAAGATTGATATCAATGCAAGTTGCTTTGACTGGGCTCATACTTCATGTAATAAGGAAAATTACTTCATGATAATAAGGAAAATTTTCATTTCTTTTGCAATAACTGTTTTTAATTAGAAATATTATATTTTTTATTTTTCACACATTTATTAATTTTCTAAAAAAAAATAATATCTGTTAGTTAAAGGATGACATTTTGATTTTATTTGTGTTGAACTTATATAATTTAGTATCCGGCTCTTCCAAACAGCTTGATAGCTTTTTCAAAACCGCGTTGTTTGGAAAGAGCTGAATTTCCTGTTTATAAAAAATGGTGATTAACGTTAATGACTAAATATTATTTTTCTAAAAAACAAATAAAATTAAGAGATACCATCTTGACCGTCTAAAAATCATAGGTAACTTTGAGAATTTTTTTTAGGAAAACAATGAAAGTAATGAAAAATTTATTTTTGAATATCGTTTTGCTGCGACTATTAAATCAACGTTGCGGGGCTCTGACTCTCAGTTGGACCTGAAACAAAAAGTCAAAAATTTTTATTTTTTACATAACAGATATTAAAGAAATATGTACGGATATTTATTGATTTTTATGAAAATGACAAATATTTGAAAAAAAAGTCTTATTTTCAGCCAAAAAAATTCGCCAAAAAAAGTTATAAAAAAAAAGTTTTTAACATATTGCAAAATCCGTACGTATTTCTTTAGATTATACAAAAAAGAAGAATCTGTGCAAATTTCAGATAAATCGAATGAACAGTTTCTGAGCAACACCAACTTTGAAAATGTAATTTCAAGAAAAGTTGCTTTGTAATATTTCGTGTATTTTCTCTTCTTCTTTTTTGCTCATTGTGGATGATTTTCTTTTTTATCTTACAAGTTTAAGTACTCCGAATTTGCTCCAAACTGTTCGTCGACACTAGAGACACGCTTCATTAAACTAGCTTGAAATTTGATTAAAAAATGTCAATTATTAATTTTAACTATTAGAACCTTATTTTTAAGACTATAAATTATCATTTAAGGCAAAATTCTATTTATAGCCTCCAAAGTCATGTAACCTCTTAAAGGAACTACCTTCCAATGTCAATTATGTACATATGATTGGAAACAAGACCGTCAATATAAATATTATAATTTTAAATCACAACGCCAACGCGGTCAGAGTGTTAAGATGTTGAACTACTATCTTAATATACATTCAATTAAATTGAATTAATATTTCAGACATACATTGAGAGCCAATGAAATTATCGGATTCACACAATCAATCTGAAACAAATAATCCCCCCAAAATTCTCCCAAATCTTAAAAAACTGTAATAAACTTATTGCGAAAAATATTGCCTCGGCCGGGAGTCGAACCCGGATCTCTTGCATTCCGTGCGAGCGTCCTGAGCCTTTACTTAAAGACGTTTCCACCTGCGACGAGATCATTTTCAATGTAGATTATTAATAAATTTGACAAAAATTATTCGCAAATTTGCAAAGCTGAGATATTATTATCACAATTATTGCATGATTAATATGTGTATTAATACGAATGTCAGGGCCACAATTAAAGCCTCTTCTCTTCTGCTGAATATCGAAACCAATAGCACAATTAATGCTCTCTACGTACGCTTAATGCACAGATCTATGTACATCCTGCTATTAAATGTTCTCGGTTGTTATGAGTTGCACGTACATAGTGTGATATGGAGATATCTGTTAATTTTTAAAAAACTATGATATGAAACTAATTAGTGTGCTAGTGTTATAATTTTTGTATAGATTGATTAATTTTCGGTTAGTAAAATATTTTATGATTAATGAAAATGTTTAAGGTTAATACCTTGACAAACACGTGCATAATCCTCGCATGTTGAGACTTTCATTTGTTTAAACCGTGGTGCTGCTTTTTATATGTACCATTTCTAAAATTAATTTTTTATTACATGATAGTTCGTTGTCAAGAATTTTGATATTATTCCAGTCAAAATCGTGATGAGTGATATTACTCCAGTCATATCATGAATCACATTTAAGCGAGTCACATAAAAAATGGTTCATCAATATTAGCGAGGTTATTCTATAGGAAGTACATACTCTTTTACAATTAAGCATAGGTTGAACCCTAACGCCTGGCGGCGCTCGAGTACTTTTTTCGGAAGCCTGACAACGTATCAAGATACTTTTCATAATTATTTAAAACTAATTTTTTTTTATATTTGTGTGTAATAAGACGATAACAAGGAAAAGAAATATTTACTAAAACCTGAATTTCGACATAACAACATGGCGTAGCTAACCAAAAAGTCCAATCATACAGGGTATCTCAAAAATGATATACGAGTCACATTGGGAGCATGAAATTGGGAACAATAGTTAAGGGGAACAAAAAAAAGTCTTATAATATATTAGGAGTATAAATAAGTTTCCGCCATTTTTTATCAAAAATTGGGCATTTATTATGAAAGAACGATACCTAATGTTTTATTCGAAGTATTGTCCATTGCTAGCCACTACTTTTTCCCATCTTTCTGGCAGCATACGGATATCGCGTCGGAAAAACGCTTCATCTTTTGAAGCTATCCACGAATCGACCCAATTTTTGTTATCTTCATATGATGTGAAGTGTTGCTCAGACAGGCCATGTGCCATCGATCGAAACAGGTAGTAATCAGAAGGAGCAATGTCTGGTGAATACGACGATTGGGATAAAACTTCCCAATTGAGTGTTTCAAGTAGGTTTTGACCGGCGTCGCAACATGTGGACGAGCATTATCATGCAAAAGAATAACTTTGTCGTATCTGGAGTAGTAGTGGGCGCGTTTTTCCTTGAGTGCTCAGCTCAATCTCATCAATTGTGTTCGGTAGAGAGTCCCAGTAATGGTTTCGTTCGGTTTGAGCAACTCATAATAAACGACATCTAGCTGATCCCACCAAATACACAACATGAGCTTTTTCCCATGAATGTTCGGCTTGGCTGTCGATGTTGAAGCATGGCCAGGTGGTCCCCATGATTTCTTCTTCTTTGAGTTATCGTAGTGGATCGATTTTTCATCACCAGTGACTACACGGTGCAAAAAACCCTTTCGTTTATGCCTGGCAAGCAGCATTTCACATGTGAAAAATCAGCGTTCAACGTTTCTCGGCTTCAGTTCATATGGAACCCAATTTCCTTGCTTTTGAATCATTCCCAACGATTTTAAGCGATGTGAAATTGCTAGTTGAGTCACTCCTAATGTAAGTGCTTCTTGCGTTTGGCACGAATCTTCATCCAATAATGCTTCTAATTCCGCGTCTTCGTACACTTTCCGCTACGTTCTTTGTCTTTGACGTCAAATTCACCGTTCTTAAACTTTTGAAACCACGGCAACTTCTCTCACTTAAGGCAGCCTCACTATATGCTTCTACAAGAATCGATGCGCCTCAGCTGCAGATTTCTTCAAATTAAAGAAGTAAATCAAAAGCTCCCGCAAATGATGCTTATTCGGCTCAAAACTCGACATTTTCGCACGAAAAAAGATGCTGATGCAAAATCGCTAATATTTCAAGGTTATGTTTTTGCCAGATATCCAACCTTACGATATGACGTTTTACAGCTGATAATTTTAACTATAACATATTGATAGCGCCATTGTTTGTCAAACGGCAGAAACTTATTTATACTCCCAATACTTGTTCCGGAATTATCGTTACTTTTCATATTTTCGGAGCAAGTAAATAGCTCATCGACACCGAGCCGTCAAAACAAGCATCTCGCTCCTTTTCTAATTACGCTATCTGTCTCAAATGGCATGCGATCCTCCTTGCGCAAATCCCTGTCGATCACGCACACGCTCCGTGTGCGAATCGTCAGTTCGCTGCCGAATCTCGATGATCACTTACCGAAAATTGAGTGCAAACAAGATGACGTGTCGCATATCTCCAGTATTCTAATCCGTCACGTTTCAAGATACGCGTACCACGAGGACCATCAGTGCGAGAAAGAATTGCGGGAATTTGCGGCGAGATTCACCGATCACATTGTTGCAAAACTAATTCCGATAACTGCAACGAAAAGTTCGTCATCGTAGTATCAAACACGCATCGCACAGAATGTAGTAAATTTTGAATTGTGAACATTGCCTACTGCCCGCTTCGAAAGCAATTTCATTCCGATTTACGAATAAAGCAAATTGTTAAAACGAAGAGAATCGACATCATTACAGCCGTCTTGGCCAGCGAGCCTTTCAATACAAGGTGACACCAGCGATCCGTCACAAAACAATACTACTCAACAAAAAATAA